CAGGGTCTCACTATGTACTTGAGATTGACCTGGAACTCACTATGTAGCCCTGGCTGGTCTTGAACTCACAGTGATCCTTCTGCCTCAGCCTCCCAAGTGCTGGGATTACAGGCATGTGCCACCACGCCCCGCTAAAATAGTTTCAATTTTAAAGGTGATATTTGTGAAAAATGTCACAGTAGGAAATATGTAGAAGATAAAGAAAAAGATCACTTAGAAAATATCACTTTTGGTACATCTTCTTGGATATCAGTGTACACACACTCTTAGGGAGATAAAGTACTATTACCTGCTTCCTACCTGATGTGACTATCATTAGCTTTCAATATTTATTTTTAATTTATTTAATTTTTTTAGGGCATGTGCGTGCATGTGTGTGCTCTAGGGATTGAACTCATGACCTCACACTTGCCAGTCAGGCACTATGCAGCTGACCTAAATCTCCAGCCCAGTTTTTTAAGTTTGTTTGAGACAGGGTCTCCCTATATAGTTTATATTCTTTTTTTTTTTTTGGAACTGGAGATTGAACTCAGACCCTTGTGCTTGCGAGGCAGGTGCTGGAACCACTGAGCTGAATCCCTGGCCCTCTCCCTATATAGTTAAAGCTGGCTCTGAACTCACTGTATAATTCAGGCTGGCCTCAAACTTGTAGCATCCCAGCCTCCCAAGTGCTGGGATAACTAGTTTGCACCACCACACCTTACCTGAATTTTAATACATCTATTCACCTTGAGTTATGAGTGTGGTTACAAAACTATGTGGCTATAATCCAGATGAGTTCTGTACAGCTATGGATACTGTTAGGTGAGTAGTTCCTTTTTCTTTTTAGTAGTTTCCCATTAGTAGATACTTTTTTGATTATTGCTGTAATAAATTCCTAGAGGTGGAATTGGTTAGTCCAAAAGGTAGGTATAAACTGGCCTTTGGGGTGTACACTTGTATTACAAATTCAAGCCCAGCCTGTGCAACTTAGTGAGACTGTTTCAAAATAAGAAATGGGGGAGAAGGGTGGTGCTAGGAATGTAGCTCTATGTGAAGAATGTGTGTTTAATCCCTAGTTTGTGTAAAAAACAAAAACCGTGTTTCATATTTTGCCAAGTTTCCTTCCAGAAAAGTACATGTATTTTTATTTTAAAATTAGTTTTTAAAATTTATATATTTGTTATTACCTTTCTTCTTCTTTTTTTCTTTTTTGAGACAGCGTTCTCACTGTGTGGTTCAGGCTGGCCCTGAACTCTCAGCAGTGCACCTACCTCAGTCTCCTGAGTGATGGGATTAAAGGTTTGGGTCACCTGTTTGTTTAGTTCATATTTGCAGTATGTAATGATTTCACTCATCATGGCAAGTTGGTACATGTATATAACACATCTTAATTCTTATACTCTGTTCTCCCCTTTTCCATCTCTTGGTTCCCTTCCTATTTGCAAAAGAGCTATCTCCCCATTTCCTATTATGTCTTTTATTTTGCTCTTTATTTATACTTTGGATTTGTCATATAAGAGACACCATGTAATACTTCAGCTGTGTCTGATTTACTTCACTTTGTGGTCTCAAGGTGCATGCATTTAACTACAAATGACTTGGTTATCCTTTATGGCAGAATAGTATTTCATTGTATATAAATACCACATTTTATTTATTCATTTGTTGGTAAATATACAGATTACTTCCAAGATAGAACTATCATGAATTGTGCTGTGAACATGGGTATGCTTGTGTCACTGTAATATGATGTCTTTAACTGTTTCAGGAAGATTTCTAGAATGGGAATAGCTGGGTCAAATGGGATTTCTATATTTAGTTTTTTTTAGCAATTTCCATAATGGTTGTACTATAGTTTTATTTCCACTAACAGTGTAAAAGGCTTCTTTCAGAAAAGTACATAGTTTTTATTTCCTTTCCACCTGAGTATTATTTTCTTTTCTTTTTTTAAGCTTGTTAGGGTAAAAAAAGATTGCGCTGTTGCTTTATTGTTAAAATTACAACTAGAGGGGCCGGGGATTTAGCGCAGTGTTTCCTCCACCTGCCTTGCAAGCACAAGGACCTGAGTTCGATCCCCAGTACAAAAAAATAAAATAAAATTAGAGCCAGGTGTGGTGATGCACATCTGTAATCCTAGCACTTGGGAGGCTGAGGCAGGAGGGTCACCATAAGTTCGAGGCCAGCCTGGTCTACATAGTGAATTCAAGACCAGCCTGAACTACATAGTGAGACCTTGTCATAAAACAGAAACAAAATGAAAAGAATTACTGTGTTACTATTAATTCCCTTCAAAATACTCCTTGTTATGAACACATTTAACATACTTAATGTTTTTTGCCACTTTCTGAAGCAGTTCTGGAGGTTCTCCTGTATTTACAAAATACAGTAAATGCTGCTGCC